CCCCAGGGGGGATGGTCACGCCGCAATCCCTTCGCCTCCATTCTCCTCTCGGGATCTTGGGCACGCACGCACACGCGCCCGGCGTGAGTTTTAAGCCACCGGGTCCGGGACATGAACCGCGGTCGACTACGTGGGAATCCAGCGACATAGCCATTACGCTAACTGCTGGTTCCCTGTCCCTACCTCTTATACCAGACTCCTAAGACCTGAATATGAAGCTCAGAAAACCTACCTGTTCACCTTACAAACCTCCCAGAACTGGTGTGAAGGGCAGAGTTCAGTGGGAATCCCCTGTTTTGTAGAATAAACCCCACTTGCCTGCCTATGATCTCATTTTGGTGCCTGGAAGGACCTGAGCCTACTTTTCTCAGACCTAGGCTGTTTGTCTGGATGACTCTCAAGGTAAAAGTCAATGGATATAATCACATTGGCTACCTTGATTGGGGCTTCCTAGAGCTGACATCAAGGGCAGAAGCCAGTCCTCTGGGCACCCTCCTTTCTTCCTCAAGGATGTGACCTTGGCTCCTGGCACTGCCTGGAAACTTAACCCAAATCTGGGCCCCTTAGACAAACACTCTGACTCCCAAAGTCCTAGAAGGCACAAATGTCTCCCCCACACCAGGGTGCATGGCAGGACCAGAGCAACATTATTCAGTTTTTCAATCACTGGAGTGGGCCTTCCTCCGCCCTCTCTTGTACTTCTCAGCCCAACCCTCTCCACTCTGCTCCCCTCACCTGAAGCGCAGCCCTCAGGACAAGGCCTTCTTCCCCTCAGGCCACAGTGGTGGAGTCAACAGACCCACTCACATCCCACCGCCCAGTCGGGGCTTCCCAGGGCTAACAGCAGGGGCTGAAGCCAGTCCTTTGGGGAACGCTCCTTCTTCCCTCCTAGTGGTGACCTTGGTTCTGGACACTGCCTGACCCCTAACCTGAACCTGCTCCCCTCAGACAAGGCTCTCACTTCCAGGAGGCAGAAGTGAAAAGTGGGGTTCAGTCTGATGATTCCCCACCCTCACTGTGGTCCAGGATTCATGGCAGCGGAGAGCTGCCTTATTAGAATACAGTCCCTGGGACAGGACTTCCTCAATCCTCCCTCATCATCACACCTTGGCTTCTAACTCAGCCTGGGCCACTCCTCTCACCGGAAGTGCAGCCCTCAGAACAATGCCCTCCCTTCTCTCAGGCCATGGAGGTGAGTCAGTTTACACCCTCACATCTGATGGCCTTGTCCGGGGCTTCCCAGGGCTGACAGTAGAGGCAGAAGCCGATTTTGGGAGGAACCAAAGAAGCCTTCCTTCCTCCCTCATAGATGAGGCCTTGGTTTCTGGCACTCCCTGCCCCCTGACCTGAGTCTGCTCCCCTCAGACCAAGGCCCTCACTCCCAGGAGGGAGAAGTGATGGGAAGTGGGGATGGGGTGGGCACTCAGCCTGACGACTGCCCTCCTCGTCCTAGGACTCAGGGTAGGGACAGAGCTCCATTATTTGGAGGTCCAATCACTGGAGTGGTTCTTTCCTCTGTCCTCCCTTACCCTTCCCCATCTCACCTTGACTCCTTGCTCAGCCCAGGTTCTCCACTCCTCTCACCTGAAGTGCGGCCCTGAGGACAAGGCCTTCCCCTCTCTCAGGCCACAGAGGTGGAATTAGGGGACATCACTTCCGGGTGTTCTGCCTGGGGCTTCCAAGAGCTGAAAGCAGGGACAGACACTGATTCTGGGGAGGAGAGCTCCTTTCGCCTTCATCGATGTGACCTTGGTTCCTGGCTGCCTGGCCCTGGTCCCCTGCCAACCAGAGTCTGCTCCCCTCAGACTCAGGCTCTTATCTGCATAGTCCCAGGAGATAGAGCTGACAGGGCCTGACTGTCCCCTACCCCCAGCGCATCCCAGGGCTCAGGGCCAGGGCAGGGCAGCGTTAATGCATCCAGCTTCCTGGCACAGGCCCTCCTCAGTCCTCCCTGGCCATGTCACCATTACTCCCAAGTCAGCCCAGGCCCTCTGCCCTCCTCACACCTGAAGAGCAGCCATCAGAACAAGCCTTCCTCTACCTCAGGCCACAGGGAGAAGTCGAGTCCCTGGACACATGTGCTGCAGTGTATGGGGTTTCTGCCCTGCACAGGGTTTGCCAGGGCTGGCAGCAAGGACGGAAGTCGATTATTTGGCCCCCCAACACACCTACCTTGCTCAGGGATGAGACCTTGGTTCCAGGCACTGCCTGACCCTGACCTGACCCTGCTGCCTTCAGACAGGGCCCTCACTAACAGGAGGCAGATGTGAGGGGAATGTGGGGGGAGGGAGTTGCACCTGGAGGTGAGGAAGTGGGAAGGGCTCTCAGCCTGAGGACTGCCCACTCCCCATGGCCCAGGACTCATGGCGGGCAGAGTCGCGTTATTCGGGGTCCGACTCCCTGGAGCGGGCCTTCCTCCGTCCTCCCTCGTCCTCTCACCCTGACCCCTACTTCCCTCCCAGGCCCTCTCCGCTCCCCTCACCTGAAGCGCAGCCCTCAGGACACCGCCCTTAGACCACGGAGGCTGAGTCAGCAAACCCCATCAAGGCCCACCGTCCAGTCGGGGCTTCCCAGGGCTGACAGCAGGGGCGGAAGCCGGTCCTTTGGGGACCCCTCCTTTCTCCCTCCTGGAGGTGACCTTAGTTCCACGTACTGCCTGACCCCTGACCTGAGCCTGCTCCCCTCAGATAGGGCCCTCACTCCCAGGAGGAAGAACTGAGACAGGGCCCTCACTCCCAGGAGGAAGAACTGAGGGTAACAGGGGGTAGGTGTGTGGGGAGGTGAGGGAGTGCAGAGGGCGCTCAGCCTGATGGTTCTCCACTCCCTATGGCCCAGGACTCATGGCGGGCAGAGCTGTGTTATTCTGGGTCTGATTCCCTGGAACGGGCGTCCCTCTGTACTCCCCTGGCCCTCTCTGCTCCCCTCACCTGAAGCGCAGCCCTCAGGACAAGGCCTTCCTCCCCTCAGACCAAGGAGGCCCAGTCCGCCGACCCCGTCACAGCCCACCGTCCAGTCGGGGCTTCCCAGGGCTGACAGCAGGGGCGGAAGCCGGTCCTTTGGGGACCCCTCCTCCCTCCCTCCTGGAGGAGACCTTGGTTCTGGGCTCTGCCTGACCCTGACCTGAGCCTGCCCCCCTCAGACAGGGTCCTCCCTCCCAGGAGGCAGAACTTAGGAGAAATAGGAGGAGGGGGGAGTTGAGGGACTGGGAGGGTGCTCAGCGTGAGGGCTCCCCACTCCCTATGGCCCAGGACTCATGGCGGACACAGCTGTGTTATTCAGGGTCTGATTCCCTGGAGCGGACCTCCCTCTGTCCTCCCTCATCCTCTGACCCTGACCCTACCTCCCTCCCTTGGCCCTCTCCACTCCCCTTACCTGAAGCGCAGCCCTCAGGACAAGGCCTTCCTCCCCTCAGACCATGGATGCTGAGTCAGTGGACCCTGTCACATTTCACCGCCCAGTTGGGGGGCTTACCAAGGCTGACAGCAGGGGTTGAAAGCGATCCTTTGGGGACCCCTCCTTTTCCCCTCAGGGATATAACTGGTTTCTAGCTGGACCTGGATCTTGCCCTAGTCTACCCACCTGATTCTTCTGCTCCTTCCAGAGCAAGGCTCTCAGTCTGCCAGATCCCCAATGCAGAAGTCAATGGGCTGGGCAGTATTATATATGGCCACAGTGCTAGGGACTTCCCAGGACTGAGAGTAGGGGCACAAACCGAATCTGTGGAAGGCCTGTCTTTGTATCTCAGAGATGTGACTTTGGTTCTTGGCAGGATCTGGACCCCGCCTTCTGCCGACCTTAGCTGGCTTCCCTCAGACCAAGGCTCTGACTCCCAGAGTTCCTTGAAGTGATAGTGGGGGGGGGAGTGATCTGTGCCAACCTTATCCAGGGTGTTCTGGGGTCACAGCAAGGGCTTAATTCAAGTTTACGGAATGTTCTTTTCTTGAGAGTGGGTGGATCCCTCAGTCCTCACTTCTGAGGGTCTTCATGTTGGCTCCAGGCTTTTTGATTCAGAGCTTTTAGGGACATGTCCTCTCCCTGCCCCCTGAGTGGTTGCTCAGCCACAGCCTTTGCAGAGAACAGCTATGTACCCAAGGCAGAGCTGGATGGCTCTGCCTACAGCACCTGGGAGCACGCTGGGCGGGGAGAGGAAAAGGCCTCTCAGGGTGTCTCTGCACCAACCTCATGGGAACTTCGGAAACCTTCCCTTCTCTCAGGTGTGTTTTCACAGGGAGGAGGCGGGGCAGCAGCAGAATACGTGGGTAGGTCCTCCTGCTTTCACCTTCTCTGTCACGTCAGAGTGCAGTACACTGATTTTCATCTTGTCATCCTCATTTCCAGGAAGACATATCGTTTATCTCTCTCCCAAAGGTATGTTTAAACCTCAGAACAAAATATACCTACCATGACTATTTGTGATTCACTCATTGCTCCACCTCTCTCCATTCTTTATAGTCTATAT